ATATAATGGATGTGCACAATGGTGTAAGTCATATGAGGAGCAGCTGAGGGAGCTGGGGGGGCTCAGCCTGGAGAAAAGGAGGTTCGGGGGGGACCTTCTTGATCTCTGCAGCTCCCTGACAGGAGGGGGGAGCCAGGGGGATATCAGGCTCCTCTCCCAAGCAACCAGCGACAGGACAAGAGGAAACAGCCTCAGGTTGTGCCAGGGGAAGTTTAGATTGGACATCAGGAAGACCTTGTTCATGGAAAGGGTGGTCAGGCATTGGCAGGGGCTGCCCAGGGAGGTGGTGGAGTCCCCACCCCTGGAGGTGTCCAAGGGAAGGACTGGGCGTGGCACTCAGTGCTCTGGGCTGGGAGACAAGGTGGGCACAGGTTGTGCTCAGTGATCTTGGAGTTCTTTTCCAACCTGAATGATTCTGTGAAAATAAGAGGTTCTTACAGCTCCATGATGAAGTCCCCAAAAATCTCAGAAAGGAATCACGGCTGGTGTTACCTTGGATCTGCTCCCTAATTCACTTCCTTGTGGAAAGCCTGTTTGTGCCAGTGATGTTTATTTGTGGTGGAGTCACTCTTCCCCCGTGGGGATGCACAGAAGTGTAGGTACCACCAGTTCTGTAGTTACCACTGGTTGTGTAGGTGTTGCTGGTAGAGACGTGTGCGATTTCGCCCTTTAAGGGCACCTCCCACTGTCCCCCTTGTTGACTCCCACCTCTCTCACCTCCCTCACCTTTGACTTGGAGCCGCCACTGGGTTCGCCAAGAGAGGGATTTTTTGTGTTGTTTTTGGGGTTTTGCTGTTTGCTCACGGGTGCCTTTCCCCAGTTTGAAGTTTGAAGTTGCCGCCCGCCGGCCCCGGGGCCGGTGACCCCTCTGGGAGCTGTCAGGGCGCCCAGCACACAGTGGGTCATCTCCATCCAGGGAGGCTGCTCCCTTTCCATCTGGGGCCGTTGGTCTGGACTGGATCCATCCTGCTGGCAGGGCTGATGGATGGCCTATTGACAAGCAGGGTGACCCTTGCTCAGCAGACTGACGTGCTCCCTCCTCACTGCCTTCGTTTGATGCGAATCAAAGAGGTGGTCAGGTCATCAGAACAGCCAATTAAAACGATAAAGAGGGAGGAGTGGAAGAGGAGGTTTTAACTCTTTCCACCCCATCGTAAACACCTTCATGAAGTAGAGCTGAAATGAGGCCTGAGAGGGGGGGCTAAAACCAAAGATCCATCTCTGTAAAATTTATCTGTGGGAACTCTTTAAAAATTGAGCAAGCAGAGATCAGGAAACAATTAACTGTCTCTATAGTTGTCAGTTATTTAGGGCCTGGACTGAGACTGGATCAATTGCTTTCCTTTCCATTTTGTCTTTTGTTTCTGAACAGCAGATCATAAATTGGACCGTGAAATTCAGCACAGGGTAATGAATATATAATAGTACATCTCAAACTCAAAGGCTGCTTGGAAGACATGAATTTTCTATCGTTGCAGTTGCTACCTGAAAAGGAGAAAGACACTCCCATTACAGTTGCTGGTAGCTGACAGCTGGCAGGAGGCAATAAATTTAGGAGTTATTTAGCATCAGCTTCTGAATAATGGAGTCACAACATGCTCTTCACTTGAGGAACCTAATGAGGGAGAAGTGCTAGAGCTGGGAATTAGGAGTGCAGCTGGGATCAGGGATAATAAAAGGTCTCTGATCTGCCAGGAGCTGATGTTCATACCAGTGCAGGGTCAATCCCACTTGCTTCAGTGTTAATTTGAGGGGCTGTGTTTTAAGACAATGCAATCTTTCCTAAGATGCCAGCAAAAATCCACTAGAACCCAGATTTTTTTCCCTGTTGAGCTTTAATCCACACTGGCTCTGAATTTTCCGGGTACCAGTTTTAATGGAAATGCCCGTAAAATAAAGATTGGATGAGAGTTAAGAGTAAGAATGTTACTTTTTGAACAATTCATCCCACCCACACTCAGTTCCTGGTTCAGACACAGAATTTCAGAGCAGCAGCATCGCTTCTGTACTTCAGTTTCCAGGCTGTAAAAAGGGGAACAACTACCTTGTTCTCCCAAGAATGTTAAAACCTGTGAAACACAATAAGGCCAAAAGCCATCTTGGTGTCTTGAAGACCAAAAAAATCCCCCTACCCCCCCTCAGAAGATACCCTGCTATCCCTGAGTGCAACACAAACTCCTCACAGACCGTCCTTCACCTGCTTGTACTTGTTCAGTTTTTGCTTTAATATCGTCATCTAACTAATGCAAAGGCACTGAATCCATTTTCTGACTGTTGGGTAAATGATGGTTAAGTGTCAGGAGATTTATTTAATTGTCTAGCTATTAAAAAAAAAAAAAAGATAGGTCTGCTGAGTGAAAGCTTTTATGCTTTTAAACGAGGTCTTGTTGTGATTAGAGTTTAAACAGCACTGATTTCCTCAAAAATGCATTGGCAATAATCTCTGGCTTGTTTGATTGTCCACATAACTGCACCACCCTCACTGCCAAGAAACTCATCTGACCCAGCAATGATAAGAATAGCTATTTTTTTCCATTAAGTGTGCAGCAGATCTCATATTCAGGGCCAGGAACATCTTCATTAGGCAGTACGGAAAGTGAACACATTGTTCACAAAGCAGCCCCCAGAATAATGGACTGGAGAGACTTCAGAGGTGAGGGATGGAGGTTGTGGGGGTGGGAAAGGGGCTTAAAGCTTCACAAACCACAGACAGAGAGGATTTTAGTGGGATACGGGCAATTGATTCCCTTAAGTGTCTTTGAAGAGGCCGGTGTAGAGGTGGAGAAACTCGGGATGACTCACTGTAATCCTGCTCAGTCTCCTCACGGCATCTCAACGCTCATTTTACTCTTTTCTAGTTCTTTAATGCTCCTTTTACTCTTTTCTACTTCTTTAATTCAAAAAGCCAAGAAAACAAAGCCCATTCAGCTGGCATGATCCAAACCCCCAGCACCACAGTGGCAGGTTCCCGAGGAGAGGTGATGACCTGGAGGTGGAACTGCTGCTCCTCGGTTTTCCCGGATGTCTCAGAGACCGCGGAACATCTGGGACATTTGTGACATGCAAACAGGCCAAACCTTTTCTTTAGGATTTTTTTCCATGGGAAATCCACTTCCCTGCTAGCTCTTGTCCCAAAATCTGTCGTGTGCCAAGCCTGCAGCTCAGGATGAGCTGTTTTGTGGGGTGTAAAGGGCCTGGCCTATGGAAAACACCTGTACCCACAAGCAAAGAGAGAGGTTTTTCTCTGTCCTTCTTCATGTCTTCCTTAATTTCCTATTCACTAATACATTTAGGCACTGGGAGCTACTGGTTCCAGGTGTCAGGCTTGGGTAGGATTAAGGCTGACACTTGCCCTGAGTCTCAAGCAGGAATATTAGTTTCCCATTTCTCCTTGCCACCCCCCTGCCTGGGAAATCCCAGCAAGGAGATCCCTGTTGTGTCCCTGTCAGCACCCCACACAGCAGAGCAGGGCTAAGCTCCTTTCCCTCCTCCTTGCCCTCATCACTCCTAAGTGCCATTTAGCCCCGTTGGCTGCCTGCTCCTCCCGGCTGGACACCGATTGCTCCCTGTTGGAGAGCTGTCAGTAAGGGGAAAGCCATCCATCCCGGTGGGAAGTAATCTCACCCAGCAGGGGGGCACCTCTTTCCAGCCAAAACAACGTGGCTTTGACAGGCCTGATGTATTTATTATCTTCTTGGGGCAGAAATGCTGCCACAGCAGGCAGGAGGGTGGGGGGAGGATGCTGCTGCTGGTGGCTTGGAAGGGAAAACAAGGACTACAAAGTGCCAAGGAGCTGCCTGCAGGGAGCAGGGGGCTGGAGCTGGATGGTCTTTTAAGGTCCCTTCCAACCCAAACCATTCTGTGTTTCCATGATAAGGAAAAAGGAGGGTACATAGGAAAGGGAAAGCTTATTGTAAGAAAGGCAATTCCTTTTACTCATGTGTTTAACTCATCTCCTGAACTCGAGGGCTGAGGGAAAGCAAACAGCAAGTGAAGAAAGAGAGGTTGCAGCCCAGGTGGGCTGTGGTGTCCCAGCCAGGCTGAGCCTTTGGGGGTGGGTTTGAAGGGCTGTCACCCTGATGAGGAGCATGAATCCCTGCCTCTTCTGCTCCTTGTCCTCAGGGCTTGGCTCCCCTTTGGTCTTTCACTGTGCCCTGGGAGGGTTTCACACAAATGCCTGTTTGTCAGGTGGTTTGGCCAGACCCAGTTTGGGTCCATTTTGCCTCTGCAAAGGACATTTTGACTATAAGGACAAGCAGTCAAAGTATTTCAGGGGCAAAATTATGTCACATCCTCTGCAGCTGTGCCAGTTCATAGGATTCATCAAATTTAAACTCATCCTGGTTACCAGGCTTGACCTTTTGAGGGTTGATCAGGAGCCTGGGCTTTGGGAAGACAGCACCTAATGTGGCTTCTGAGTGACAGGGGATCCATTTCTTTTACTCCAGTCTTCCAAGAGTTAAATCACCTCACAAAAATCTAGACCTTTCTCTAGCTAAAAGTTCCCTGGGCACATCCAGGTGTTTTCTCTCAGCAGTAATTGATTACAAATTGGCAGGGCCTGAGTTCACCCATGGGGTGTTATTGCCCTGACAAGGCTCACCTGGGCCCATCTCACAGCCTCTGCTCATTGGTCCAGGAGCTGTATTTAAGCTCAGTCCCCTGAGTTTTGCTCTCTTTTGCCAGCCTGAGTCCAGCTTGGGCTTTTCCTTTTGTGGCTCACATGGAGGATTAAGTTCAGTGGTGATACACGGGATTTAAACCCCGTAGTTCTGTGACTGGGGTGTGTTACCTGGGGACTGTGCTGTTTGGAGAAGAGGAAAAGAAGCCAAAAGTGGCAATAACTGAAAAGCAAACTCTCTGTTGTATGTGTGCCATGGCAAGTGGGGAGCATGCAAGTGACTGTGGAGTCTCCTTAAAGGCTGAGAGGAGTGTTTGCTGTGCCATGAGGAAAACCCACTGCAGGGTGAGGTGACTTTTGCTGCAATCTGCTGACACAGTGGCTGAAAGGAACTGCTGCTTCAGAGCTGCCTCTGCTGCAAAGGACCCGAGCAGGAGCGACTGGAGGAGGTGGGAGGAAAGGCACTACCTGCTCCTAACTGTGAGTAAGCAAACTTTTCATGTGTTTGGGAATATGGTGCGCAGAGACTGGTGGAAGAAATGTGTGTAGTGGGCAGCAGGACTGCGGAATGGGGCCTGCCTTGGGAAGGTGTCCGTGTTCCCTGGTTGGAATGGGCAGTGGGTGCCCTTAGAGCCAGCTGGCTCTTTGGAGAAACTTGTCTTCAGAGGAATGTTGAAGGTTGGGAGCTTGTAAGTACTGAAAGATGCTCACCTGCCTCTGGTTGGAGCATGGCTGAAGGGAAGGTGCCCGAGGAGCTGCTTTGTCTATGTTGAGCTTTTATTTTTGTTGTACTGAACTTGGCTGCTTGCTTGGTTTTCTGGACAAATGTGGAAGGTGGAGAAGTGTTTTCTTGGCTGAAGGGAGGCCAGATATAAAAATCCTTGTATGTTAGACTTGAATTCTCAAAAATTGCTTTAAAGTGGTGAGATTGTTTTGGTAGTTCACAAAACCATGCTCAGGTGGAGAGCTGGGTGTGGCCCTGCTCAGACTGGCTGAATAACAGAAACTGGACTAAAGGCTGTGGTACAGTGAACAACCAGACTACCTCTCTCTCTTTTTCTACTTTTTTCTCTTTACATATCGGTTTTAGTGCTAAGAACTTTGTGACAATAGAAATATTACTGTTATTGGTGCAGCCAGAAGCTTTTGAGATGGGTTATTGAATGAAATCTTTGTGTTTTGGGGGGATTGCTGTAGTGCTACGAGGCATCTTTGGTGCAGGTGAACCTTGATTTGTAAGAGAAAACTGTGCCTGTGTTACCAATGCCTTTCTAGGTGCTTTGCAGCAGTTGTTTTACAGTCTATTATGAACACTCACACTGGTTTCTCCCTTCTGCATGACCCAGGTTTCTTCACAAGCACTAAAGGGCTCCCCTAGCTATTGATTGTTCCAGTTGCAGCCTTGGGTAGCTGAAATCTAGGAGGCCACAGCAGTGGTCTTTGTGGTGTAAACTCTGCAACCCCTGCAAAGTATCTCCTCCTCCTCTTGGTTTCCACCTATGCAGGGGAAACACTGTTCTGTACTGTCCATCTTAGGATGTTAGATGATCTGCAGAAGTCATGGAATCATAGAAATCACAGATTCTGTGAATGGCCTGGGTTGGAAGGGACCTCAAAGTTTATCCAGTTCCAACCCCCCTGCCGTGGTCAGGGTTGCCACCCAATAAATCAGGTTGCTCAAGACCCCGGTGTACTGCCTGACAGCAGTATTGGTTCCTTCTGGGATTTCTTTATTCAACTTTCATTTTGGGGAGTAAAAACTGTGGTGAGGGGAAAGTGTGATACTGGTTCAGCTCATTAAAAATGCTTTGGGTTTTTTTTATTTTAATTGATGTTAAATATATGAAAGGAGGGGGTAAATGCAGTCCTTTGGGGTAGAAGCATCTGTATAAATTTTCTGCTCATAATGCAAGTCCTTAGGAGGAGCAAAGCCTTGCAGTGTGCCCTCAGGACACTGAGGTGCTGGACTGCTGGGCTGGTCTCCTCTGGAAGGCTGTTCCACAGCCAGATTGTTTTCATTGGAAACACTTTGTTGCTGGTGTGATCCATGCTGGGCTTTGTGACCCGTGAGGTGCTGGAAAAACATCTGCATTGGCAGAGCTCTGGGTGAGGGAGGCAGGAGTGCTCCAGCCCAACTCACTCCTGGGCCATCACCAGCTCTCCCACCGCCTTGGTTACTGCAGAGAGGCACGAGTTCAAGTGGGAATTATGCAGTGGTTTACTCCTGTAGCTGTTAAATGCATGAATTAAGGGTTTGTTTTCCTTCTCCAGCCCTTCTGTCAGCCCTGTACCTCCTTAACCCCCCAAGTCAGAGGGATGTAAATGGTAACTCCTCACTAAGCGCAGGATTTTTTTGTGCACGACCAACCTTGGCGCGGGCGCTGGCTCTGTCCTGCTGTGATTTCATCCTTCCCTGGCTTGATCAAGTGTCAGTGTGCCCTTCCTTGCACACCCCCGTGGACCCTGCACCACGTGCTGCTCTAATGGCTTGGCCAGTCCTGCAGCTCCCGTGGCTGCGCACGGAGCGCTCACCGGTCCATGCCGGGGGTTTCCTGTCGTATTTCATGGCTCCTGATGGCAGCTCAGCTGAGGAGTTATGAAATTCATATCCTCTCTGCCTAGGAGAAAACGGCAAGTGGAAGATTTAATATCCCACAGGGTTGGTGTAGGAAGTTGTACCAGAAGGGGGGAGGAGGCTGGGGCTAAAGCTTCGGGTCCTTCACAAATCTAGGCGAGTCAGGCTTTGCAAAGGTTGGAGAGCTGGGAATGACACCGGCTGAATTACGTGCGTGGCACAGCGTTACAGCACTTGGACTGAATTCCCTTCCCCACCAGTAATTCTGGGATTTATGTTTGGAGGAAATGGCCTTGTTTCATTTGGTGATGGATTTCACTTACCAGCACGCAAGGCTGGGGGTTCAGGAAAGACAATCCCATGGTAAAGTCTGTCACCTATTCCTCTGTGTTGCTTTGAGGTCACAGATTAGGATCAGGTCCTGGTATCCACAGCAAACATTGCGTTTTGGGGTTTCCAGGGTGGGCTGGAGCGGATCCTTCTGTACAATACATGGGATGGAAGTGTGTTCTGTGTGTTGGACTGAGGACACAGTGATCTCCAGCTCCTTCAACTATGAATGCTGTGCTCAAGCTACTCCTTGCAGTGGAAGGGGCAGGGTCACGGACGAGGATGTGATGTGATCTTTGGCCAGCCTGGGCCTGAAAGGCAGCAGAGGCAACACAAGTCACATGAACAGTGTTGTATCAGCAGCACAGTTGAGTGTCAGAGAATCACAGGATGGTTTGGGCTGGAAGGGACCTCAAAGACCATTTAATTCCACCCTCTGCCACAGGCAGAGACACCTTCCACTAGACCAGGTTGCTCAGAGCCCTGTCCAGCCTGGCCTTGCACAGTGTCAGGAGTAGGAAGGCATCCTGGCACAGCTCCCATCCCACTGCAATCACTGCTCTGTGCTGAAGCAAAGCATGAGTTGGGAGTTGCACTGGGTGAGGAAAACAAACACTTAAGGGTGTCTTAGAAAGTCCTAAACCCCTCTTGAGTCTGGAGCAATGCAGTGACTTCTGCAGCCAGTTCTTGAGGTGTGCTGGCCAGGCAGGAGAGGTGATGGCTTGGTCCTGCTTGGTGGACACACCAACCAGCTTGTGGGGGAATGTGGGGACTCCGGGCTGGAAACCATCAGGGACCAGATAAACTCAGCCCTGGTCATTCACGTCCCCTGCATGGAGCACGTGGGGTGTGTTGTTGTGCTGACACTGGATCCTGAACAGGCTCCCTGCTCTATCCCTTCTCTAGGGGCAGTCCTTTAACGAGGAAAAAGGTTGGTTGTGGGATTTTTTTCCTTTCAACCCTCTAAAAACAAAACTTTACCATTTACATGGCCTGAATCCCAGAGCTGCAGCCTGGCTTTTTGTGGCAGCACTTGTGGTGAAGCCAAATGTCAAGGATCAGCAAAGTGGTGCTTTTGGTTAGTCAGGTTTTACTGATGCTTTTCCTTTAAAAAAAAAAAAATCAGTTTTATTACAACCTATAATGAAACAGTAGCTTAAAAAAGATTTCTGTATTTTCTTCCTTTAGAAAAAGTAAAGGCTTCATCTCCCTTCCAAACTCACCAAAAATGTTTCAGCACCAAATTACTTTAAAGTCCACAAAAAATGGAAAAAGAATTTAGAGGAGATGGAAAAAAAAAATAACTGAAAAGCTTCACAGATGGAAGATTTCATTAAATGAATGAAAGCAATTTAGGGAAAGGCAACCAAAACTAAAATATTAAAAATGTTGATGTTCAGATGGCAACTATTTTTGGACAAAGAAACAGATTCAGTCCTAGAAGAATGACAGTTGCTCTCTCTGGCTCTTGGAGCCTTTTATTTTCCTTGTGGATGTGTTGGATATGGAGCTGTCTGGTTGCTTGTTACCAGAGTCATTTTAGAGAAGCTGTTTCTGCCACGTGGTCCGTTCTCATCTGCCCCTTCTGACAGGAGACATCAGAAGCAGGAGCAGAAGCTATTCAATCATAGTGACAGAACCCCTTTTTTTGGATGTAAGATGTTCTGTTGGTTTCATATATATGTGTATATATATATATAACCTTGTGTTTGTCTCTCTGCTCACATCCAGCGTGTCTGATGAAATAGAGCTCGAAGGGTGGTCCTGGGAGGTTCCTGCCCCACTCTGCAGGGCTTAAAGGGGAGGATCCCAAACCCTGAGTGCTTATTCTGGCTGGTGAGCAAGCAAGGAATAGAATGGTGGAATATTCTGAGCTGGAAGGACCGACGAGGATCGTTGTTCCAGCTCCTGGATGCGCAGACACCCCAGCAATCCCACCCTGTCCCTCAGAGCGTTGTCCAAATCCTCCTGGAGCTCTGGCAGCCTTGGGGCTGTGCCCACTGCCCTGGGGAGCCTGGTCAGTGCCAGCCACCCTCTGGGGGAAGAACCTTTGCCTGAGATCCAACCTGACCCTGCCCTGGCACAGCTCCAACCATTCCCTGGGTCCTGTCCCTGCTCCCAGAGAGCAGAGATCGGAGCTGCAGCCCCCCATGAGCTCTGCCCTCAGTCTCCTCTTCTAGAGGGTGAGCAAACCAAGTGACTTCAGCCACTCTTTGTATGGCTTTCCCTCTAGACACTTCATCATCCTTGCAGCTCTCCTTTGGAATAGGTGGCTCGTTGGGAGACTGGGGATTGTCCAAAGTTTTGGTCTGTCACTAGTGGGGATGCTGTACGTGCCACCTGGAACTCTGGTAAACTCCTCAGGTAGATGAGTGAGCAAATGTGGCTGATGGTGATACCTACAGGTTTTGTCAGCCCTCCACAAGTTTATCTTCCCCAGTTTCACAATTTAGCCTTATGAACATGGTGTCACCTGGTTGGTGGTGTGGAGGACCTGGAGCTTTATTCCCAAACCAGGCACTGGCCTGCAAAGTGGCCTCAGCCAAGTCACTTCACTGCTTTGTGCTTCATTCCC